TGGTTTTAAGGGCATTACTTATTAGTAGTTACAGCAACTAGCCTGGTTTAGAGATTTAAAAATCAGACATTTAGACTAATTATTACTGTTGTACAGATCTCTGCATTCAAATGAAGTTCCAGGCATGCATGTAAAACTAAGATGAAGATGAAAGGGAGTTTTATTAAGACATTTATCTCCATGAAAAAGGCAAAATCTTGGCCTTGTCAGTTCTCAAGTTTTTATTAAGTATCTATAAAATACAGATAAGCCTTTATGTTGTCAAAATATCAATTTTAATGGAATGCATGGAAGATCCAGGGTGAAGCTTAAATTTGAATAGCATGATATACTATGAAATTACTAAAAAAGAGCAGAGGTATGCTTCAAGTATATCTTATGCTGACCTTAGATAAATAGCCCCACAAATTATAGAGCAGCTATTTTATTGACATGAAAGAAACTTCAATCAGAAAAGAGAATAACATGTTTTGTTTGTGCCTTAATATTAGTCTGCAAAGCCAATGTATTTCTTGTCATATTATTATTATTATTATATTGCTTTACTTACCTTGAATGACTTACCTTGTGATTAACTTTTGAGTTATTATTATTTTACATGTTATATTTTAATTCTAAGGTTTTCAAGGACTTTAAATACCATAAAGTTGAAGTCTTATTAAACTTTCTTCAACTTTATGGTATTTAAAGTCCTTGAAAACCTTGGAATTAAAATATAACATGTAAAATAATTTTGACATTTCTTCATTTGGCCTCTGTTATGCTGAGCAATATTTGCAGCTGTGTAAACCATATGTTCTCCAATATCTGTTGAAAGAAAGCTAGTATTTGTAACTTAAACCTGAAATGTTTACAGAAATTTTTGAACATTTCAATAGATGCATGAAGATTTTTATCTTACTTACTTGAAAACTATATTCAACAGAGTTGATTTCCCTCAGAATCTTCCCATGGTTTTGAAATTCTCATAAGCATGCCAACTTTCATTTCACTCACATCTTATGTGGCATCATATTAAACAAATCTTAAGGTCCCCTGATATTACTCTACTTCCTATTTTCTCATTGTCTTCTACTGATGACAGATATTGGCTACAGAAACTGTGGTTGCATAATGTGGTTAGGACGCTGTCCATGGGCCTCTTTATTGTTTAGGCAAAATATGTACATGGGAGGTTTAGACAGTCCCATTATGGCAGAATGGCTCAGTCTTCATATTTGGGCACTTCATTCTCTTCCACAAAGCCCCGCAAGGCAAAAGTTTTCCTAATGTTTTAATTGGCTTACCATATAAAAATTAATAGTATCAACCTGTGAACTGAACTCTCAGCACCATATGTTGCTTTGGAAGATAGTCTCTGATAATTTTATTTATTACCCTCATTAAGTGATCCGATAAACTTCATACAATCATGATCTGTCATTGCAGATAACATTTATTATGAAAGTATACAGACAGAGGGTGTCCTCACATCATTTAAAGAGGCCATGTTATGTTTCAAATTGATACATAAAACCATGAACTGTGTCACCTGGTGGCTGTCCACTGACCAACAAAATCTGTTCCCAAATTTGTTAATTTCTCCGTTGCTGATGCCCTGAAGACTGTTTTTAGTTGCATCCACTTTTTGGCTCATTTAATTTTATTTGTTCTCATGATTTCAATGATCTTAATTGCCATCCTTAGATCATTGCCTTATTTGCTGGCACCTTTATTTTAAATGGTCCATATCTGAAGCTAGTGCTTTTTCTTTTACTTTACCCTGAAGCACTTCACTAACAGTGTTGCTGAAGCAGAAGCCACTAGGAATGAGCTAATATTCTATAAACTCTAGTGTGATAACAACCAGGGTCATACTCATGTGGTGAGCACCTATTGCTATGGGCTTACTCCAGATCAGGGAAAGTCGGTTTGGCAGACAAGACAAGAGCCCAAGTGGCTCATTGCTGGCAGTATTATCGCTGCTTACATACATTCCTGGCCTTCTTTCTTTGGTTTCTATGTTACCACATATGTCTCCTATTCCTGCATGTTTTAACAATATTTTTCATTGCCATCCTCCTTAAACCAATCTTGAAAATTTACAGTTTCTCTAGATTCAACCTTAGTGTCTCTTTATCTAGACAATCCTAACTATCCCATATCTTTAAATTCCATCTATAATTCTCCAGTTGAAAAATATCAATGCTAAACAGGGAGATCAGCTCGGTGCTTTGTGACCACCTAGAGGGGTGAGATAGGGAGGGTGGGAGGGAGACGCAAGAGGGAGGGAATACGGGGATATATGTGTACGTATAGCTGATTCGCTTTGCTATACAGCAGAAACTAACACACCATTGTAAAGCAATTATACTCCAATAAAGATGTTAAACAAAAAGAAAAATATCAATGCTAATTCCAGTTATTTTTTTGATTCCAAATCAAGATGGCAACTAACACTTCATAGCTTCTTTTGGTATCTTGAAATCAATTCAGACCCAGTCTAAACTGAAGTTGTTTTTACCCAACTGAGTCCTTTCTAAGAGTCCTCTATCTGTGAAAATGGCAGTATTATAACCAGAGACACTTATGCCACCCTTATATCCAGTAAATCACCAATTTCTCTTAACTTTTTCCTTTTATCCATACATGTCTATATATTCCCATTACCACTAGTTCAAGCTTTCATCATATTTTTTTCCTACACTATTGCAATAACCCTCAAACTTATTTCAATATATCCATCTTTCTCAATGTCAATCAAGTTTTATAGAGCAGTCAATGTAATATTTTTTGGATAATAAGACAAAATTACCAATTCTCTTCTTTACAATACTCTCTAACAGATTGTTATTCTTAAGATAATTTTTTAAAAATCCTTAATATAGCCTAAAATTTCTGTATTATCTGGCTTCTGTCTATTCCTTAGGCATCATATCATTTCATTATAAAATCAGGGACACTCTAGCTGTTTTGAATTCCTGGTAAGCAGCAGACTCCCCCTGGATTCAATGCTTTTGCACTTATTATTTCCTCTACCTTGAATATTGCTCCATTTGTCCTTAACCCTAATACTAACCCTTACTCTTTATGGGTTCAGATTCAAAGTTACTTTGTCACCAATGTTTTCTCTGATATTTCCTGATACTATAAAAGGTCCATATTGTTTGCTCTTATTTCAAACTGTTTTCCCTCTTTTTGTTACCTATTAAATACCTATAATAAATTTTTTTAAGTTATTGATTTCATACATCTACCCCCAATATACTTAAATTCTACCAAAAAAGCCAGCCTTATCAGTGTCAGTATATGACAATTTGTCAAGCAATGTTTAGAAAATGAATGAATAACTGGATTATTACTTTTATAATAACAAGCATTTCTACTTTGATAGAATATTAATGTTACATAAAAATTTTTACTCTAAGTTACATCTAGAGTGTTTATTTCTATTTGAAAGAGAATATTTAAATATCGGCAATTAATCATAATAATATTTCTTGTTTGAATTGCTGATGTTATAATGATAGGATGTGATGAGTACCTACATCATCCCAGGTTGAGGGATTCCTAAATTGAAGTTTAAGTGTAGGGATTGGCATTTGGCCTTCAGAGGCTTAGGCTAAAGCTGAATGCAGATCATTTGGTCAAATTCTGAGACTGAAGCTGAACATCAATGTTACAGTCCTTAATAAAAGTTACTACTATGCATTGTTATATAAGTGGAATGTCGATTAGTGTTGATAAGGAAGAATTAGGTTTTAGCTCAACTTTTTATGTTTGTTTGAATGTTTTATGATGTAATGTCAGTGTCATTAAAGTGAAAAAATATTATGCTGAACAAAAAAAGATTCTAGCAGAGTTTTATTAAAAAGGACTGAAATGTAAAAAATTAATGAATGAATTATTTTGTCTGTTTCTTACAATTCTATATCAGATCTCAATGAGGGCAATATAAAATCATACTTTGGCTGAGATTATTTATACAAATTTTTTACTGTAGTTTCTACAATAATTTTATATACTACTTTGTATAATTAGGAATGACATGGAGATCACTCATTAGCAAATCCTTAGTTTTTTATTCTCATAGTGAAAGTTCAGATGTGAAAATAGATCACAAATTCAATTCGATTTTGAAAAACACAATCAAAGAATCTAGTTGATCTTTGATTTGCTGGGAATCAGTTTCTGTTTCTACTGGTATAAACTCCATGAGAATGGAGATTCTTTTTTCATATTCCCAGCACTTAGAATGGAGGATAGCATATGGTAAATGCTGAATGAAAAGTTACTGAACAAATTACATGAATGTATTAATCATTAAAACATTTTAAATAAAGTATATTTAATCTGGAATAGAGAAAATATACTTAGCATTTAGAGAGAAGTAGTAATTTGGCATAAGATTTCTCTCTGCCAGCCCTTTTATTTAATTGCCCAGAGTTGGCTTTTCTCCAGTATATTTGAGCGATTATTTTTTTAATTATTTATAATTTTAAATGAAACATAAATAACAAACTACTTGTAAATATTCGAAATTGTCATTGTTAAATTATTGCTATGCAAATACCAGGGAAGAAAACCTGTGCAAATATCCACCTTTAGCTTCATATGTCAACAAGTACACATACACACTTCTAAAATACTATTACAATGTTAATGATGGAAAATTTTACTTACAAAGTTTTTATTGTTCTATAGGAGAATTTTGAAACCTTTAAATCATTGATCACTGAGAACATCACCATGTAGCTTCAGTATGATTGCATAGAACACAGATACTCAGTTCAGAATACTTCTCATGCAAGGAGAAAAAGAAAAATCAAAGAGTTTTTAATAAAAACTTTAAAGTGCAATAAATTAAAAAATATACTTTTAGTCACAATTAAAAATATGTACATGTAACATTACTTTTCTTTCAATTTTATTTATTGATGATTAATGAAATTAAATCCTTTTTTCTCACTGTGATTTCCTCTTACTTGTCTTTAACTGCTACTTTCCTTTCAATCTTACAGTGGAGGATAATTGAAATTATGTCTGTGACTTGGAAACTGACCAGTATTCTGAAATGTGAGTTACCTTCTTAGTTTTAATTATCATCTTTTTGTATATGTAATGTATTACTTTGAATACTATAAAGCAGTGGCATAATGGAAAGGAGACATATTACCAAACTGACACAGTCTTCAAACCCCCAGGCATCATCATTCATAAACTCTGAATGACAATGAGATAAGCCTATTTTCCTTTATAAAATGTACAAACTGTATTAAAAAAAAAATTAAAGTGCCTCTAGCCAATTAGTTGTGTGCCTTTAACCCTTAGTATCATAATGGAACTGGAAAGAGAGCTTGTAGTAGTGTTTGGATGTCTCTGTAACTCCCTCCACTCATTTTTCTTAGTCCTCTCTCCATGTAAGTTTTATTCTACAAATATTTAAACAATAACTAAGGACAATTCTGTAGAATGTCTGTTTAAAAATAAAAATCACTTGCTTCTTAGCTGTTCCCTACTCACTTTGGAATAACTTCTGTTCTAATGACTGGATAAATTTCTCTCAGTCTCCTAAATACTTTATCTGGTTCTAAAATCTCCAAGTTGAATAAGAAGACATTTTGGTCCAGCTACCAAATAGATATAAAAATATTCATTATAAAATTTATCCCTACTCCCTTTGTAATCAGGGAAGGAATATTGGAAGCTTGTATAAATAAGATGGTTAAATATTGGGATTTGTGAGGAGGAACTTGTGGACTCAGGTACAGGCTTATGAGAGATAAATATATATTGTCCCTGTTAGTACTTTCCAGTCCATATTAATTGATATTTATGCATGCTCAAATATTAGGTTGTTGTTTTTGGAATGTGTGTGTATACCTGTAAAAAAACAAGGTAATTTACTTGAGAGTAACTGAGATGATATCTAATTATATTCCTGTCCAGCTTGAATGTTAAAATGTCATAGTTAATTATTTTTAAGATAAAAGAAAATTGAGAGAGTCATTACCATTTTGAAATAAGACCAGGACATAGATTTATAGCAGAAAAGAAAACCATGAATTAGATGAAATCAATAGATGTCAAGCACATGAGAGATTCTTGTGACACTTTAAGAAAATTAGTGACTTTTAGCTATAGACAAAAGGACTTATAAATGTAATCTAAAAGGTTTCTCATTTAATTGACAAAGAAAATCTAAAAGCCTGGAGTGAAATGAGTATTAGATCATGAATTGCAAAATGCCACAAGCTATCTTAAAAAAAATTTCTAATTCGTAAATATATCCTTCGTTAAACTGAAATCGAGTGCCTCTCCTAAAATATATTAGAGTTGTTTTAAAAACTTTCTTCAATAATAATTTATTCTATATAAATGTCAGAAAATGATCACCTGTTCAATTCATGAGTATTTATCCTCATTATTACATACTTTAATTAAAGTATAAATACTAACTTACTGTTTTTTCCTCATTTTAAGCCTATTTAAATTTACCTACATTACACCAATTCTTTTAATCTTCAACTTTGCTCTCAAGTTATTAATTTCTAGTCTGGAAAGTTATAAGGTAACCATAAAATTAATACAAACTATTGAATATTAATTATTTTACCCTTTCTGTCTGAGCTTCAATCTCCTAATTTGGAAAACAAAATGAGACAGCAAAAAAAGGCAAAAATGATAAATGTCCACCTCACCTAAACAAAGGCATGTGTCCCAAGTTAGACAATAATTTAATACTCTAAAATTTTAAATAATTAACAGAGTGAAGCCAGGGCCAAGAGGAAAATTATTGAAGATTTTGTCTATATTATACTCTATCTATCATCTATCTATCCATCTATCTATCATCTATCTACCTATTTAGCCATCTATCTATCTATCATCTATGAGGGAACAGTTCCTGTTACCTAAAACAGAAGCTGCACTAGATTCTGAACTATTTCTAAGACTTATCCTCAGTTCCCAGGAAATGTACGCACTGCCTTGTAACTCACAAAAAGTTGTTTTTTGCTTAATTATGCATAGTTGGTTTTTGGTGCTTATAATTGAAGAACTCCAGTTAATAATTTTGGAAAAATTTGCCTTATTCATTGACTTGTTAATTTATTATATACTTATTGTGCTCTTTTTGTAAGCTGGATTATTCCAAGATGTTTGAACTATGGCATGGACAAATCATTTTAAACAAAGATAAATGGGTATTTTTTAACATTTAGATAGGAATCTCAGAGCCTTGCGTACAGTTATTTGTATATATAGCTTTAAAAATAAGCCTATTTAATTAAAAAAATAATTGATTATATGCTCTGACTGTGGGAAATCTATTTACATCTTGAAAATGTTGAAGATAATAGAATAAACCTTGATTAACTTTCCCTAAACAAAGAGATGATAATGTTCAAGACAAGGTCTTAGCTATTATTCTAGTGTTGGGTTTTAAAATTACTATGAAGACAGAGTTGTTATTGACTTAGTTCTAGATGCAAATGAGAATTCTATACCAACATATAATTTGAAAAACGGAATATGACTTTTATAAAAACTGCATTCTTATGAAGCTTGACAGATCTACAATTTGGCTGAACAATCTCCATTTTCAATCTTTCAACTATATAATTTTACAATATAAAATAAAACAATAAATGCAATTTCAAGCCTCTCAAATGTTACTACTACTGTGTTTCATGTTTTTGATTTTCATAGATGAAGTCACCCTTTAACAGTACTGATGGCATTTTTAAATGTGGAGAAATAAAAATTTACCATATTGCATTTTGTCCTATATAAGTCCATATATTTTATATTTTCTTTTAATTACTTTAACTAAAGCTATAGAAAATATCTGTATTACCATGTAGTTGTATAGTGGTCAGTATTACACTCTAACAATATGTGCAATGTTCTATAATAGTGGTAAGTATTTTAATTGGTTTAGACATAATTTATTCTAGATCTATGATGTTTCTCATCATTTCATTTTGTCAACTTTTATAATTATACCTGAATTTTAAACATAGCATTTAAAATCTGTATTTTTGTTCTCTCCTAAAGTAGCAATTTCATGCAAAATTGCTTTGTTTATGAGAACACAGCATATGCTTAGTTTTCTCCCAGGATGTTCTATAAATCTGATGAAGTTGGGAAGTAAAATTCCATTAGTACCACTACTCTAATTATAGTATTTATACTAACTTGTTTTGAACATATTGGATGATTAAACATATTTTTTCATATTATTTTATAATAAAATAATAACTTTTGTTCTAGAATATTAATTGCAGCCCAAAAATGTTGAAAAAAGTTAGATGAAATCTTGGGTTCCTATTTTATTGCTATCCTTAGTTAACATAATGTCTTGATTGTAATTTTGTCCTGGATCCAGGGGTGCCAGAAGTAGAAAGATGTTCTTCCCCTGGATTTTCAGCTACATCAAACAGTAAATTGTCATTTTCCTTAAGTCAGTTTTAGTTTTATTCTGCCAATTGTAATCATTTTATTATTAAATAACATATCCATGTATAACCTTGACAGTCCTTATGGAAACTGAAATCCTGCTCTGTCAGTTAAGTGACATCTTTTAGTTTCTCTTATTTTGTGATCCTTACACTTACTTGCTAGCAAATCATCATATTCTGTACTGACTCTCCTACTGTAAATACTAACCTATAGAGAAGAGTCCCCAATAACTTTTTTAATGACATCAGTGCCCCCTCAACTTCTTATAGCCTTGGTGTTTGGAGGATTGTCTAGATCTTCCAGTGAAACATAATCTCTGGTGGGTCTTCTAGTCATTAATAACATTACTATATCCATTTGAGTAAGCACATATTTCTCTGTCATAGAGCCTATTCTTCCCTCTGTGGTAATTTAGGCATTTCAACTTCACTAAGTTTAGTTTATTACTCTTTCCATGTTTCCAATTGCCTTCTCTTGTTCTCATCAGGTGCTGAATGCTGTAACTTGGGAAAATTGTCTCAAGTCAACAAATATTTCCTTAACCATTTTTATCTTTCAGCACTTTTGTTAAAAATCCTCAGAATCTTGTCTCATGGGTATGGGTTCAGCTTCTTCCACTCCATGCTGGCTAGAGCTTGCAGGTGATTTTCAGCCTGGAAGAGTATTTTCATTATTAGTTTTATGTGTAAATTTTGAATGTGAGAATGGGCAACAGCTCCCAGCAAAATAACTTAAGAATAATGATAGTGCAGCACCAGTGCAATTAATTTACTGCACATTTTCCTCCAGTGTGAATGGTGAAAATGCAAAAGATGGATATCAAGTAATTAATAACTCAAGTATTTCATTTTTATTATTTATTGGTAGTTTAATACAGATGGCAATAAATCTCATAAATGAGGTTTAAGGAAAAGCACAGAACAAATATACTAAAATGTACTGAGGCTTCCTGTATATATATATATATATATAAATATTAGATAGAAAATTATAGTTATCACTTTCAAATAAAACTGCATTTATAATATCAGATTAATATTAATAGATATATATTTTTGAAGTGTTAATAGCTGCTATAATAGCATGTTTTGTGTATTTGTGGGAAAACAATGTTAAAAAAATTTGCAAGAAGTACTAGGTAGATAATTTTGAGACTTTTGTGAATTTAATTTTAACCAAATGTCTCAAAAGAAAAATATTATGTAAAAATCTGAAAAAAAACCCAACACATTCTTTGTTAAAATAAAAGTTAAATTTTGAGCATTACGTTTAAATAAATTTTGCTACGATTTTCTCAATCCCTGTTTAGCTTTGGATGAGTTGATCGTTCTGCTAAATGGAGTTATTAAAACCAAATATTAGCATAGCATGTCTAGATTCCTTAACATACGTTATTTTACTTAGTTACCTAAATGCATATGATCTTATTTGGGGCTTATTAAGAACAACATACTGAGTAGACATGTCATTATCATTCTACAACTTTTAAAGACAAAGATTTCAGATTAAGTAATTGATGCAAAATTACCAATTTAATAAATTGTAATGTCATAGATCAAACTTAGACTTCCAAATTCATGTACAGTTCATCTTTTGATAAACTATTGGGTGTC